GATATTTCTGGATTCATTTTCTGAAGATGTCGATCAGGGTAATCGTTATAGCTCACCTCAGATAAAGGCAGTAATATTTATATCTTAGTTTGTTATTCCCTGAACTTTCAAGAACTGCCCATGGGATGTTAGGCAGGGAATGTTCAAACCTTCATGCTACAGCATCAATGGCCAAATTCATTCCCATAGAAAACAGAGCCCAAAACTCAATTTAAATACTGACCACTCCCTGACACACTGACTATCCCCTCCACAAGGTCCCAGTTACCATCTAACATCTGCAACCTGCTTGAGCAAAAGGTCTTTTCCAGACTGGTTGGAACCAATTTCCAGGTACTGACTTCATTGATTAGCAACTTCAACTATTTGTTTAAATAGAATGCTGTTCTCCAGTGATGAAGCATCTGCAGAACCTTTTGACTAGGAATCAACCTGCAATTAACTTCCACACCTGGCCTCACAAATAAACAAAAGTTTATTTGGTCTTTTTTCTATTTAACATAGTCCAAAAGCCATTTTTAGCTCATAGTTGCAAGCCAAAATTGACTTAAAGAAAAAAAACAGCAAGGGCTCTAAAACTTGCCTGCCCTACTCTCAATACTAAGGAAGAATTTCAGCATAACATAAGCCAGTTCCACATGAGAAGACACTTCCATTTTTTAATAAAAACTAACACAATTGTAATGTTTTTAGTTGGTCACAACTGGGACAATACAACTTAGCTGAAGGTCATTTTGACAAAAAAAAATTCGCACTCCTGATCACTAGAAAGTGTATGTAAGAAGTCAGCACTGGGCTCATCAATGATAACCCCGCAAGCCAAACAGTCTTTCAAGTTGCATTATTTTTGATTCCACCAAAAAGAATGGTCAGTTGCACAAAATAACGAAGGGGTTTTGGCACCTGTACAACTGTACAGCAACATGATTTACTTACTGTAAAGCAGCAGGGAAGAAAAAGCGAGGAAATAAATTCTCTATTAAATCAGGAGTCAAATGTTTGTTTACATACACTTCAGCTTCTGAGATTTAGTCCAAACTGGATATGTTTTTAATCTGAAGATGATAAGCCAGAACTCCTGTAAACATCCAAATCTACATAAACATCACTGTTAGGAAGCCTGTGCCGGGAGAAAATAAATCACTTAATAGAATTCATTTAATATTTTATTAACTTTAAAATTGTGAACAAGCAGATGCCCACACTTGTTTGCCAGATTGAATGACATGTGTTTTATGTTTGAAAAAATATGCTAACATATTTCTGAAGCAGAATGACATCTTTTAAAGGAAGATGCTTTATTTCCGTTGACTTCTTAATGGCACTCGGCCTTTTGACCAGTTGATCCCCTTTCCTGTTATGCCTGAGCATCTATCCTTTTGAATATCATCACTAGATGCTGGGTTTCAGACCATTTGACTGAGAGTCTGATGGTGCTCCTGAAAAGACAAACTGACACTGGCAGGAACTGAGCCCATCATTTGTTTTGTGGGGGTTACTTTGTTTGGAGATATTTTCTAAAGTTAAGTGGCATTATTACACTTCTGGAATAGTTGGGATTTAAACCTGGACTGCCTCAGAGATAGGAACATGACCACTGCACCACAAGAGTGCTTACTTAAATGATAGTTAATATTCCCCAAATAAACAATTAACTTCATTATGCAAATACAAAAGTTATGTCCATCCTTGTCATAAGGATTTCAGGAAATGCAATGCCAACAGAACTAAACGTTCAACTGTTCTACTGCATGGCAAATAATAGAAACTAATGAGATTTACAACTGTGGTTTCAACTCCAGATTTACTTTGCAAAATACAGCAAAGACCACAATACAGACACTTTTCACATAACTGCACTCAACCTGAAGTTCTCATATTAATATCGACCCTCTTTTGTGGATTATTTGCAGATTAATTGAGTCAGTTTTTCTTGGAAAAATTATGGCAATCAAATAATCTCTCCCCTATCAACAAGAACTATGCAACAACAGATACAGGGATGGTGCTAAGCATTACATTATGTGCAAGGGAAAATATCTTTATTTTGTGACGAATATCTTTTATATTTCACTGGAGCTGAACTGTCACCTGTGCCAAAATTTCACTTGAAACCAGTCTTAAGTAGACCCACTGTGTATTTGTGATGGTCTATTTGTAATGGTGACCATAAAATGAAAGGAAGAATTTTAGATTTGGTAGCATATTCGAAGTGCTGTACATGTTTGATTTTGTTAGAAAGTTTTGGAAAGTGATCTCAGATCTGTAATTCATTTGAGTCCAAGACTCATTGCCCAGTTTTGCACACTGGAAGACCACCCCTCTCTTCTCTTTCATCTCCAGGCTCTCCCATTTAATCCCCGTTTGTGTGTTCCTTGCTGGCTCCTAAACTTTTTCTCTCACTTTTTGCCTCTTTCATTCTCTTTCTAGTTTTGGTTTATATATTTATTTTCTTTCCCATCTTCTTGATCCACTTGTTTTTGTTTTGTTGCTCTATTTCTCCCTTTCCAGTGAAAGGGCTCTCCTCACTGGCTTTCTCATTTGCTTCAAGCTCTATTGACTTAGTCAACTCTCTCTTCCAATTTGTGCTTTGAGCTTGAAAAAAAAACAATTAAGTTAAAATGCAAAAATTGATGCAAGAGTTGGAAGAAGTCTGAAGAATTCAGGAGATCAACACATGCACGGGAAAATCTGGCCAATGCTACAGAGAAGTAATTAGTGGTCCCAGAGGCTGGAGAGGAGCCATGGCTGGAGAGAGCGCGCGCCTGGAACTGAGCTTGAACCCAGGTGCTCGGCTAGAATTTGATGGTCTCTAATGGCACAGACTGGATCAAAAATCAGGTTCACGCGAGCACTACTTCATTTTTTTCACTTGAACTTCTCATTCTTGTATACAAAAAGGAAGGAAAACATTAAATGGCAACTTTTAAAGCAGTCCATGATTAACTGCAACACTTGACTTAATTGATCCTGTTGCAAGCAACAAAATATTAAAAACAAACAGCTTAAAATAATGATTTATATGGTACCATTACATCTGCATTAATGGAAGTCTAAACATCTCACTACAAAACGGTGGCTTTGAAAACAGCTTCAGCATACAGCTGCAAGAAAGTGTTAGGCAAATTATTTAGAGTTAAGTGTGATCCTTCAATATAATTTACCTGGAAGTTCTCCTTCAACAGCTGATCAAACTTTATTTATTTTGGCAATTTTGTTTCAGTTTCAAATTTCCAGAATTTGATACTTCACTTTTTAGTGTGATTCATCGATTTGGTGCTCACTGTTCACATTCCATGATGAACTGCTTAATGTTCACCAACATAAAAATCATAAATTGTCTGAGTTGGTCCAAAGAGTGCAAAAATAACAAAAAAACTTTCAATATCAATACTGACCTATTCTGAGATATCAGTAGCTCTTTAATATGGATGTATGCTCAATGGGTTTTAAAAAATAATTTCAAAATCCACGTGAATTCCTTGTTGGGTTCAAAGTAGTCTTGTGGAATTAGAATTGTTATACAACAGAAAGAAGCCCGTCAGCCCATCTTGTCCACACCAGCACTTTACAACAGTAATTTAGCAAATCATACTTCACCATCCTATCCTGAAAGCCTCATGTGTCTATACAATTCCATTCCAAAAACTGCAATTTCACCCGTCTCCAACACTACTCTCAGATAGTTCATTCCAAATCATAACCATTTCCTGTGTAAACATTTTTGTCTCAAGCTGGTTCTTTTGCCAATCACCTCAACGTGGTGTCCTCTGGTTCTTGACCTTGTTGCCAATAGGAACAGTTTCACCATCTATTCTGTCTAGGTTCCTCATGAAACTGAGCAATCTCCTCTTGACATTCCCTTCTAAGGTGAATAACCCTAGCTTGTCCATTCTATCCAAACAACTGCCATCCCATACCTCTGAATTACCTTTTCTATTGTTCCTAAAGCGCACTGTCTTGAACGCTTCACAATATCCCAAAGCCAAAAGGTTAAAGCAGAATTTTCAAGAGGTATTTCAAGTAATCTCAAAGCAAAAAACAAGTTTTTATTTTAATATTTATAAAGTTTACAAACCATTTAAAAAGTTCTATTCGAAGTGACAGCCTTGCTCTAGTCTTCTCTAGCAAGATTGGACAGTGAGGTTCCGATGATAAACTCAATCCTAAATTCTGCTGATTTTACAACAGAAGTCACTGAGCAGTGGAGGACCAAGAATCGTGACAGATTTGGCTTCTCCTTAACTCAATTCAAATGTAATGTTCTGTCCCAGAGGAGACAGAGTCAACTAGCTCATACAAAGGGCTGTAATCTTTTTCTTAACCAATATAGTAAAATTCAACTTAACATACATCCACCAACCCATTCATCCAGATCAATATCTAGTTTCCTTCAATCCCTCTTACCCGATCTACACTGTGTCTAAGAAGATGCACTGATTTATGGAAGGTTTATATGATCATGTTAATATCAAAGATTAGTGAGTGATGAAATCAAAAAGTAAATCAGAAGAATTTAATGTAACACATTAAGTGATCACAAAATAATGAAGAGTCAAACAAATTTTATGGTGTCATTTTAAATGTTTTATATGTTTTAATGTTTATATTATTTGGCAGCTTTGGCTTGATTTTTTTTCCCCTTTTCCCCCAGTTCTTCTTGTAAATTTGATTTATTTTTTAAACCCTGTGAATGCTCACTGTCCGCATTTCTCTCTCATCCTCCCCAAGCTTGTGTTAAGTTAAATGTCTTTTGCAGCCTGCAAAGCACTCGATTTAAGTTGCTGGTTAATATAAACTAGCAATAAATTATGTTAGCTGATACATTAAAGATTCACTATAGGGGCAAATAGAAGTGAATTACTACATAGTACATAGCTAGTTTTAAATGATTGAGTAAGCTTTTTGCACGTTTTTGTTAAAACGTGCAAAAAGCTTACACAGTGTTAGGACAGATAAAATGCAACACCTTTTAATTCAAAAGCATTCTACTGGCTTCTGACGAGAAATTTTACAAGTTGCAATTTATACCAGTGTGGGACAAATGAAACCTAAACAAAATTCAGAGATATACAGACTATAGAATCTGTTTGATTAGGTACTTACCCCCTAACATCAGAGAGATTGTTTTGAAGTTATAGTAATCAACCAGGATGATTCATTTCACAAAAACAGTGCACAGAGAAAAACAAAAATAAATTTAGACAAGAATTTAAAACTTAGATATTCATACAAGTTCTCCCTATTCTTATGACATCTTGGCCAATATGAAACTACACAAAGTCAGAACATTTTTCATCAGATAATCTATTCAGCTTACATGAATCCAAAAAAACCCAATAAAGCAAAAATCCTCATGTTAAGCATCTCAAAATAATATTTCCAACTTTGAAATATCAGCAAAATGAATTGCAACCAGATTGCAAGTAGGATGTTCTGCAACTTGCATCCAGACATGGCTGCTTAAATTTCTAATATTTAGCTTCTAAATAGCTATAAACTTTATTCAGTATTTCAGAATTACAACATGAGAATCTGTGGTGCGCGAATGTCCACTGCCTTTGGAGGGAAAAAATGAAACCCTGCATAAAATTAACATAGGGACAGTGTCTAGAGACAGATCAAGGGCACTTAGTATCTTTCTTAAACTCCTCTTAAAAATATATTAAGGAACCTGTGTCGCATGTTCAGGTGACAAAGTACATATTAAGTGAATTAATTCTTACCTTTGTAATTTAACTACATAGTACAATATCATTTTGGTGGTGCTAACCAATTGTCTCACTCACATACATTTCTTCAGTTGTTGCTTAAATTTACTCATTGTGTAAGGGATTGGATACAAGCATATAAACATATTTAAGTACTATAGATTTTAGATGATAAATTCAGAACTCCAAATTAAACGTAGAAGTACAAACAGTCACTTACAGACGTGAAGTCCTTTAGATTTTCATCAGGAGGTTTATAAAGAGAGAGAAAATAGATATTTTAACGGAGATGTTTCTTTACTAGTAAAGTAATAAGTAATAAGTAATGACATATAGAGCAGTTAGGCAGCTCCCAGAACAACACACTACTAAAATAAAACACACTACTTAATGTAACTAATGGATACTGAATTTACACATTCCTGGTGAACTAGGCATTGATTTGGAATTTAAAGATTTACCCCATCTCTGAAGGTAAGCATATCATCCTTAACTGTAAGGAAAACTTAATTCATTAATTAGCATCAATACCGCTTTGATCAGCTAATCAAGAAGTATGACTGAAAGATCCAATGACGATAGCATTTTGTTTTATTTTGAAATGCAGCATTTCACCTTCATACAGTGCTCCAAATTCAATAGAGCATGATAGTGGCAGATCAACTAACAACTAAGTAACAGATTAAATCAAAAATGCTTTTGCTTCATTTTACATTTGTTCCTGAAGGTTAAGGTCCAGTTCCATGGGAACTATAGCCTTTTGGCACTCTATTCAATTTGTCATTCTTATTCCACGGCCAAAAATTGACAACCTCCTAATCCAGGATGCAGAGTGAAGCCGGATTCCAACGTTCATCTGACACCGATCTTCTCATAGGACTAGGATGTCCAAACTTCTCTTTCTCAACCAGTCAGTTGTTCATCTCAGAACAATAGATGCACATATGCACAAAAAGGAAACCATTGTTGTCACAACATTTGCAGACTTACTTAGGACAGCCCACAGTTTCTTAGGATGGAATTTTATCTGTTTTATTTAAAAGTGTATGCTTGCGAGTTTGGTAAGTGGCAGTGATAAGCCACTTCTATTGTTTAAATAACAAGTTGATTGACATGATCGAGTTAGTTAAGAGTTGACAGGATGAGTACAGTTGGGTCTTTAGGTCTATTGCAAGCTTTAGGGCCCTCTTGTGGTGGTAGTGTCCCTATCCCTGGACTGGGAGGTCTGGGTTCAAGTCCCACCTATTCCAGAGATGTGTAATAATATCTCTGAACAGATTGGTTAGAAAAATAGGTTAAATAAAACATTTTTTTAAAAATTGCAGGCTTTGACAGTGGTGTTCTGGTTTGCCAGAATCATTTGGCCCATCAGGGGCAAGCAGCTTCTCAATCCAAAAGTCCATCAGTTGAGGCCTACCCCTTTGGTGATCCAGCATCAGGTGGAAATCTCATAAGGGAAGGGGTGTTTGGGGAGACAGCATTCAGGGAGATCAGTAAGTGCAGGGGTGTGGGGGTTAGAGACCAACCAGACTGGGGAAATTGGGGAAACCACCTTAATTAGTGGCAGGCCGAGATGACCATTTTTCCCCAGAACATAATGAGTGGGGTGAGGTGGCAAGAACAGGGTGAGTTTCTCTTCAAGGTCAACTCACCCCATTATTACCCCTTCATGCCCTTAATTGTTTTTCTACAGTCTTTTGATGACTCAAGATTTCCTGGGCAGCACAAGCTTTCACTTAATTTACTAGACTGGCAATCTTGGCATACTATCTTAGTCCCAAATTTACACTCTAAGGATCATTTAATCTTCATAGGTAAATTTCTTCAAGATCAGCGGTGAGTGCCAACCCTTTGTTGCTGACACCAAATTCCAACTCATGAGAAGTTTTAAGTTGTTGTATTTTTGTTTTAGTTATATATGTGGCAATTACTTTCTATTTGACTCAAACATTATTTACCTTTTTTGTTGCCAAAGATGGATCCTGCCTGAGGAGATCACACAAAGCAGTTAATTGCCCACTGGCAGCACACTTCAGCCACTCCTTTTCCAAAGGATCCAACTGCAAGAAACAAAACATTGAGAATAGACTATTTGAAGTGCAGTTGTCACTTGATAATAATCCCACTTGCTATACAGATTTGTTGTCAGTCTCGTAATAATAGACGAATATTCCAGGCAAATGATTTATGATAATTAGTATATCCCTGAATGAAAACCTGTCGCCATCTTAGATTCAAGCAAGTTTGGAAAAGTAATACGGTTTCGAACAAAAGACTGAATCTAACAATCCTGGACATTAATTTTACAAAAGCTGCAGACAATGCTAAGTTCATTCCTGCTCTGACAACTGAGTTTAGTCACACCTCTTTCAAAGTCATTTCCATTATATCACATACTTCAATGAATTTCCTGTTTTTTTTCCCCTCCCTGGGGAAGCTCCTTCCAGCTAGGACTTACCTAACTGAAAATGCAAGTTACATTCTGTGAGTAGAGATCTGGCAAAATTTCCCCTCAAGTCCACATGTGATGCATGTTATGGCAAATTCACCTGATACCAATTCTCAATTATCACCAACATCAGCAGTTTAAAATAGGTAAACACAAGATGTCAAAGCCAGCTCGAGAACTAATCCCAAAATTTAATGTGCCCCATCTGCCAGCTGGAAATCCTTCATGCCAAGAGTCTGCACAATTTCATCCATTTCCCTAAGACAGTGGTTAAAAGTACAAAGTGACTCCAAATTCAGCTCCAATACTGTAGGACAGGTGGTGATTTTGAGCCTGTGAGGAATTACAAAGTACAAAATAAGGGTGTTATATCAAATGTGCTCAACGCTGATACTGGATTGAATGGAAACTATTATTAGAAACAGTCTCCTTTACAAAGGGGGAAATTAAAATTAGGACAGGAGATGTGTGAAATCAAAAACTAATTCCAATAACAGGAAACCAGTTTTACCTGCTGACAGTGGCCATCATAAGCAAATTCAGAACTGACAAATCAAGAGCTAAGCTTCATAAAATTACAGAGTCTCATGGTTTCACAAAACAATAAAAATAAATTTATTTCTGGTTTCATCTCCAAATGTGAAAATACATGAATAATTAAAACAAACTTTTAGAGTTTGGAAGGATTAATCATTTCTTTACATGCAACAACTACATTTGCAGAAAGTTATACCACAATAAAGGCTACATATGCCCCATTATGAAACAAGCATGAAGACAGGAACAGCATGGTTTAACTATGGAAATAAGTTATCAATAAGGCAAGTATCTTGTAGTTAGGGTCTGTACACTGTTCCTTCAGAGTATGACTTTGAACATTAATCTAACTACAATAAACAGGATGAAGTCTCTTCTCTCTGCATCAACTCAAAGGGCATCAGATAAAATTAGCCTGGACAGACTCAGTCCAGTTTTCAGTAAACAATCAGACAGAAAATAACTGTTCGTCTCCGAACAGAGCATCCTAAATGACAGCTAGTTCAGAAGATGAAGAAAATGTTAGTTGAATAGTTGGGATGCGCTTTTCCTGAATTTGGCAAAAAAGCAACTCGTTTTACAAAACTGAAGGATGAATGATTTATTAAATCTGGATATACTGGCTGACATTGAAATTGAAAAAAGCCTTCCATTCTCCCCAATTCCTCAGGTACAAATTGGATAAAAAAATTTAACAAAACACATTTACAAAATATATTACCCCGAAACATCCGCTTCGGATATCCTCCCATATTTGTGCCCAAATAGAGCTAGGATGGAGTGCAGCCTGATGTGAAAACGAGATTTGAAATGCATGATTTACAATCAGGCAATAACATGAAAATGCACAACTTGATGACAGGATTAACACAGCAGGCCAGGCAGCAGAGAAGCAGGTAAGTTGACATTTTGGGTCAGGACTGTTCTTCAGAAGAAGGGTCCCGACCCGAAACATCAACTTTCCTCCCCCTCTAATGATACCTGGCCTGCTGTGTTCCTCCAGCTCCACACAGTTATCTCTGACTCCAGCATCTGCAGTTATTATTATCCCTTGGTGACAGGGTTGGCAAAATTACATATGTACATAGCTGACTTAACTTGTAGCTTAGAACTAACTTGCAAATGTGGTCAGTAGTGATAAAATCCAGGAGTTTTGTTTTGTTTTTATTAGTCATTCACATAAATGATTTGTATGAGAATTTAGGAAACATGGTTAGTAAGTTTGCGGATGACACCAAAATTGATGGTACAGTGGACAGTAAAGGTGGTTAAGGTAACAAGGAGATAGCGATAAATTGGATCAATGGGCTGGGGAGTGGCAGATGGAGTTTAATTTGGATAAATATGAGGTATTGCCATTTTGGTAAAACAAAGAAATAGAGAGACCTAGGGATTGAGGTACAAAATTCTCCACCATTTGCATCACAGATAGACAGGGTGGTTAAAGCAGTGTTTAGCATGTTTGCTTTCATTGTTCTGACCTTTGAGTATAGGAGTTCGGACATCATGTTAAGCTTGTATAGTACAGTTCTGATCACCCTTCGATAGGAAGGATATAATTAAATCAGAAAGAGTTCAGAAAAAATTTACCAGGGTGATGCTGCAAATGAAAGGTTTGAGTTACGAAGATAGGCTGGGACTTTTTTCACTGGAATGTAAGAGACTGAGGGGTGGCCTTATAGAGGTTTACAAAATTATCAGAGGCATACAGAAAGTGAATAGCAAGGGCCTTTTCCCTACGGTGGGGGAGTTCAAAACTAGGAGACATATTTTGAAGGTGAGAGGAGAAAGATTTAAAAGGAACCTGAGGCGCAGCTTTTTTTTTAAAAAAAAAGCAGAGTGGTTCACATGTGGAACAAACTGCCAGAGGAAGTGGTGGAAGCAGAGGTCATGCAACTCAGTTATAAAAACACTCATTGGCACTTGTAACTTTAATTAGGGTATTTTCATATCAGGTTAGGACTAAACTATGATCGAAGAGATCCAAGAAGGGAGTGGTAAACATTTTTATGGGAGTGCAGCAAAGGAGCAAGTGGAGGGTCTCATGGATGAGACAGTTACACTGCAATTACATCTATCACTGGAAGTAATCAGAGCAACGCGGTTCACAGAGACAGTTTTTATTATAAATTCATTAATTATTTTACTTTTCAATTCTATCCCATCAGAACCAAAACAGAAAAAATGTATAATAGGGAAAATTGATAGGAAATACAGCCAGCTGTAAGACTTGGGAAAATAAAGTGCTGCATTACTGGGAAGGGAGGGTAAGGGGTAAACTGAGACTACAAGAATGAGAACGAGATGGTATTTTCAGAAATTTTTAAATGGCCATTTAAAGAAGTCAAAATTGAAGCCAAATATAACTGAAACATTGGCAAAACCATCAATATAT